GGGATTTGTGGGATGGGATGGATGAGTTGGTATGGGATTTGTGGGATGGGATGGATGAGTTGGGATGGGATTTGTGGGATGAGATGGATGAGTTGGGTTGGGATAGGGTGTGACGGGATTTGTGGGATGGGATGGATGAGTTGGGATGGGATGGGATGGGATGGGGTGTGATGGGATGGAATTTGTGGGATGGGATGGGCACCACAATTCAGAGGAGTGCCAGGAGATCCTGGCACTTCCCAGGGTGGGTTGATCAAGGCTGGTTGGGACCATGGTTGCCCGTTGAACCCTTCACCATGAGCATCTGGCAGGGGTTCCTCATCGACCTCGGTGTGTCCGAGCTGGACCGCTTCGACGACCGTGAGGCTCTGATCTTCCGTGAGAACACGCTGGCTACCAAAGCCATCGACGAGTACATGAAACTGGTGGGGGCCAAGTACCTCCAGGACACACTGGGTACGGCTGAACGTCACAGGTCTTTGTGGGACATCACGGGGTGTTCTGGGGTGCAGGGTGTGGGCAGAGCATTATGGGGCCGTAGGACACCCCCAGAAGCTCCATGGAGGTGTGGTGGAGGTTTGTCGCAGCCATGCCTGTGGTGGTGGCTGGTTGGTCCCCTTATGGGTTGTCCCTTGGTGGCCAGGTGAGGCGGTGGCCCAGCTCTGCACCTCGGGTGACAGCTGCGAGGTGGATCCCAGCAAATGCGCTGGCCTCGACCTCTCTGACAACCAGAACAACCTGCGGCAGGTCTGCGAGGAGACCTTCCAACGCATCGCCACGTCCTGCGAGTGAGGACTAGACCCCGTGCGGGCGTGGGGTGGGGCACGGGGACGGTCATGGGAGTGGGGACCTGGGGATGGACACCAGCGTGGGCAACGGGAGACGTGTGGGGTGGGCACCAGCACCAGGAAGACCTGGAGATGGCCTTGGAGATGGGCATGGGGATGGGCTTGACGACAGGAGGACAGGCACTGGCACCAGGATGGGCATGGGAATGGGGCTGGGGACTGGCACCATCCCTGGGATGGGCATGGGCACCAGGAAGGACATGGGGACAACCTTGGGGCAAGCACGGGGGTCCAGCATGGGGACGAGCACAATCATGGTGGGCACCATGTCCCCCAGCTCATCATGGTGGCACATGGGGGGATTCCAGGACCACCCACCTGCCCCAGCACCCATCAGGATGTCTCTGCCCCACAGCGCCTTCCCGGCAGAGCTGGGCGAGATCTTCGCGGCGTGGCAGGAGGAGTGCGCGGCGCGGGGCAAGGCGCCCATCGGGCAACGTCTGGTCTCGGCCTCCCTCTTCCTCCGGTTCCTCTGTCCCGCCATCATGTCCCCCAGCCTCTTCGGCCTCGTCCAGGAGTACCCGAGTGAGGCCACCGCCCGGACCCTCACCCTCGTGGCCAAGGTCATCCAGAACTTGGCCAACTTCACCACGTATGTCATGGCACGGCATGGCACCGGTGGGGAGGGACGTCCCCATGGGGAAGCCATGGGGCAGTGGGGACATCCCTGACATGCCGTGTGACATGTGCCATGGATGGTCATGGGACAGCAGGGTTGTCCCCAACGTAGCATGGAGCAGTAGGGTTGTCCCCAACATGCCATGGGGCAGCAGGGACATCTCCTACATGCCATGAACCAGCCACGGGGCAGCAGAGAACATCTCCACTCCATGCACAGGGATGATGTGTCCCAGCAGCAGAACGACACGTGTCACCTGTGGTGGTCTGCCCCATGGGTGGCTTGGTCCAAGAACGTGGCAGTGTCCCTCACCCACATCCTGGGCTTGTAGACCACGGTGGTGGTCCATGACCATTGTGGCGGCCCATGACTCTGGTGGTGACCCATGACCGTGGTGGTGGCCCAATGACCATGGTGGTGACCCATGACCACTGTGGTGGCCAATGACTCTGGTGGTGACCCATGACCGTGGTGGTGGCCCGATGACCATGCTAATGGCCTAATGACCATGGTGGTGGCTCATAACAATGGTGGTGGCCGAATGACCATGGTGGTGGCCCATGACCATGGTGGTGGCCCAGGTCACCACGTGGCCCCCAGGTAACCAGATGCTGTGGTCTTCAGGTTTGGGGAGAAGGAGGCCTACATGGGCTTCATGAACGAGTTCCTGGAGCAGAACTGGAGCACCATGACGGCCTTCCTGCAGAGCGTGGCCAACCCCGAGAGCAGCGTCCACATGGCCACCTACGACGGCTACGTGGATCTGGCCCTGGAGCTCGCCACTCTCCACCTCCTGCTCTGTGACATCTTCTCCAGCCTGGACCAGGTGCCACCACCGACTTGTCCTTAAGGGTAGCTGGCGAGAGAGGCCACAGAGATGGTGTCCACAGCCCCATGGATGGCACAAGGCCACCCACTGTCCCCATAATGTCCTTGTCTCATCCTGGCAGGCCACACAGGAGGAGCTGGAGCCCCTGCCCACCATCCTCACCGCCATCAGGGAGGGGACCCCTGTCCCTGTTTCTGTCCAGCTCAGCTCCACCACGGAGCGAAGGTACCGGTGGGTGGACAGGGACACACATAGACCAAGGTGGCCACGTGGGACCAGGAGGAGCTTTGGGAGAGGGGTGACACTAGGATGGGTTTGGGATGGGTCTTGGCTGGGTTCAGGGGATGGTTCTGGTCTTGGTTGGGTCTAGAGTGACTCTGGTCCAGAATGGGCTTGAGGTGACTGATCCCAGTTGGATTCAGGGGATGGTTTTGGTCCTGACGGGTCCAGCAGATGGTTGTGGTCCAGGCAGGGGATGGTTCTGGTCCCAGTTCAGGGAATGGTGTTGGGCTGGGCTGGGTTTGGTGGATACTTCTGGTCCAGGATGGGTCCAGGGGATGTTTCTGGTCCCAGCTGGATTTAGGGAGTGGTTCTGGTCCTGGCCGGGTTCAGGGTGGTTCTGATCCTGGTTGGGTTTGAGGTGGATCACGTCAAGGCTGGATTTGAGGACGGTTCTGGTCCCAGTTGGGTTTTGGGAAATGTTCCTGGTCCCAGGGGGGTTTTGGTGAATGTTTCTGGTCCCAGTTGGGTTTTGGGGAATGTTCCTGATCCCAGTTGGGTTTGGGGAATGTTTCTGGTCCCAGTTGGGTTTGAGGTGTTCAGGTCTCGGCTGTGTTCAGTAGATGGGTCTGATCCCAACTGGGTCTGTGGTGCATCTGCTCCTGGTTGAGTTCAGGGTGGTTCTGGTCCCTCCTGGGTCTGTCACTGCCCCGGTGCCATCGTCCCATGTCCCCTCACAGCCCGGCAGAGAGCATCAAACCAGGCTTTGTGCCACCACGGGACCTGAGCAAGCACAGTCCCCTCATCAAGAGCCAGTCCCTCATCAGCATCCGCCGTGTCCGCGGCCGGGAGGACGGGTCAGAACCAGAACCATCACCGGCACCGGTACCGTCATCACCGCCCAACCGGGAACGCCGCAACGTGCAGCGCACCCAGAGCGTGCCGGCGCAGAGCAAAGCCACCCGGCGCCTACGCAAGCAGAGCAGCATCGAGCACGTGGCAGAGCCACCAACCGAGGACAACCCGGGGTCCCTCGTCCCCCGCAACACCTCGGTGAGTCACGGCAGCTG